GATGTTGTTCCTCCAGTTTGTACTGTGATTCACTGGAGCGTTGCAGCATACCGAGAGCAGACAAGTGGGCAAGTGAGCAGGATGCTGTGTTTAAATGATTGGCTATGGGAAGGTCGGGATCATGCTTGCACACGGACTGGAGGTGTTCTGCAAAGCGGTCACCCAGTCTGCATTTTGTTTCTTCAAGATAAGGTTCTTGCGAAGATTTGTAGCTTGGGTTGTGGATGAGGTTTTTGGCTTGCTCGTCGAGCTGGCTGGTTATAATACAGACATTTCGCCATGCTTAGTAACATCATCAGTGCGGCCTCCGATGAAGCGATGTTGTTCTACTCTGCTTGGAATTAGTATGATCTGGTCTGTTAAGTTAGGTTGCGTCATTTCTGGTTCTGTTCTGCATGGGTTTGTATATGGGGTCTAATTCCACACGTTTATTGATTGCATTACGGGTTGAAAACCAGGCCTGTAGGAATTCCTGTGCGTGTCTGTGGTTGGCTTGAGCTAAAATGGTCACGTCGTCCCAGTTAAATTGATGGCCTTCATTGTCCGAGCACACTGAGATGAGGGAAAGTTTGTTGTGTCGTTTTGCTGCTAGCTGGTGTCCGTGTCTTGATGGTTAATTTCATTCCTGTCTGGCTGATGTAATGTTTGTTGCAGTCATTGCAAGGTATTTTGTAAACTACGTTGGTCCTGTATGTCGTGGGTATGTGGTCTTTGGTCCTTGTGACTGTTTGTTGTGTGTGGTTGTGGGTTTGTGTGCTACTATGATTTTTAATAGTTGTAGGATTCTCGTCAGTTCTGATATGTTTTTGATATAGGGCAGTGTGGCCAGTGTATTGGAGCGGACTGTGTCCTATTGGCATTGTCTATCTTGTAGGCACCTGCGGATAAAGTTGTCGGGATATCCGTTGTTAGCAAAGATCATATAAATACCAAGCGGAGTAGAACTACATTGCTTTATCGGAGGCCACAGTGATGATGTTACCTAGCATGGTGATGAAACATTTGTACGGTAACCAGCCAGTTCAGCGAGCAAGCCAACAAACTCATCCACAACCTGAGCTAGACATCTTCACAAGAACCTTAAACACCTATGGGTGCACACGCTCAAAGTAGCCCGACAATGGGAAACCTTTGCCAGCTGACTGAACGCTACCCACAAATAATTTCACTTTCTCCACGAATGCCTCAGGAACTAGGTACTGCCGCACAGTTAAGTACAAACCTCCATTCAGCAACCCACAGACACGCAGAACAGCTGAACAAAATGGCCGGAGAATGCTATGGACAATGATCAATGATGCCCATAACCAGCTCTACGAGAAATTTCATGCCAAAAATCATTATACCAAAACTACCGACCAGCAATGGACTACAACCCTCAAACAGGCCATCATTATCAAACCACAAGGAGCAGAACAAAGAAGAAACACACGCTACAGGAGAAACTGACCAAACTGATCCACCACAAAGACAAGGACAACAACAAACTAGACTCCTGGATAAGAAACCTATCTAGCAGACCACTTACAGAAACTGAGAAAGCTGTCCTAATATGCGGACTAAACTATAACCACAGAGACGCGAACAGAGGAGACTTCATGGCCACTCTGGAAGCTACACTAAAAAGTAATAGGCTCACAGATGAATCACAACAAGCCATCTAACAAACTATAATCCCTACACTGAACTGGAGGAATGAATGGGACACCCTCAACACATCAGAGAGAAAAGCACTCAAAGGACTGGAGAGACAGGAACGTACTAATCCTACCATCAGACAAAGGGCGCATGACTGTCGTTATGAACAAACTGGACTACGTTGAAAAAGCACAGGCACTGCTTGCAGATACATACACTTACCAATAGGTGGAGATAGCCTCAACACCACAGCTAGCAAACAGGATCACCCAAACGCTGAGGAGACTAAAAAATGCTGGACAAATAACTAAGATAGACTGCATGAACATGAAACCAGGAAGCTTGAACACCCCCGCTTCTACGGACTACCCCAAGTATGCAAACCAGACATCCCCCTCAAACCCATTGTCTCCCTACCAGGCACATCGACACACAAACTGGCCAAGGACCTACAACAGAGACTGAAACACCTGGTCGACGGATCATCCCACTCCATCCAGTCCACCCAGGAATTCCTCAACATCCTCAAGAACATTAAAATCAACGACGTCGAGATATGGTATCCTTTGACGTCACAGCACCGTTCACGTCCATTGACATACCACTAGCCAAAGAAACACTTGCCACATTACTGGATGCAGCAGAAATGCTGACTCCAAGCAGCTCCATCAGCGAGGACAACATAGTCAGACTACTGGATCCATGCCTTACCGCACACTTAATTTTTAACAGCCAAACGTACAAACAAATCAATGGCACACATATGGGGTCACCCATCTCAGGACTTATTGCAGAGGCAGTGATGCAAAGACTGGAACACACAACCCTCCCCCTCATACAGCCAAAACTGTGGATCTGATGACACGTTTTTCATTATCAAACGTACCAAGTTAGAAGAGACACACCATCTCATCAACAACGTTTTCACCGGGATCAAATTTACGAGAGAAGAGGAGGACAATAATCAACTTCTGTTTCTAGATGTCAGGATAGAATGGGGAGTTCCAAACCACAGTATATAGGAAGGCAACTCACACTGACCAAATCCTCAATTTCCACAGCAATCACCCCAACGTCCACAAACAAAGCTGTGTTAGAACACTATTCAAATGGGCCACAACTCACAGAAACATGCTGGAACTACGCAGGAAGGAGGAAGAGCACCTATGCAAGGTCTTTGCTAACAACGGATATCCTGTAAACTTCATCCGCAGGTGCCTACTAGATAGACAATGCCAAGAGGACACAGTACACCCCAATACACTGGCCACACTATCCTATATCAAGAACATATCAGAACTGACAAGAAGCCTGCTAAGACCACGAGGAATGATAATGGCACACAAACCCACAGCCACACTACGACAAACACTCACAAGGACCAAAGACCACATGCCCATGACATACAGGACCAACAGTTTACAAAATACTTTGCAATGACTGCAACAAACATTCCAATGGCCAGACAGAAAGGAAACTAGCCATCACGACACACGAACACCAGCTAGCAGCAAAACGACACGATAAACTTTCCCTCATCTCAGTGCATTCGGACAATGAAGGCCATCAATTTAACTGGGACAACGTGACCATTCTAGCTCAAGCCAACCACAGACATGCATGGGAATTCCTACAGGCCTGGTTTTCAACCCATAATGCAATCAATAAACGTGTGGAATTAGACTCCATGTACAAACCCATGCAGAACAGAACCGGAAATGACGCAACCCAACTTAACAGACAGGATAATATAAATTCCAAGCAGAGTAGAACAAGATCGCTTCATTGGAGGCCGCACTGATGGTGGTACCTAGCATGGTAACGAAACGTCTGTATGATAACCAGGTTTCTCAATGTACAGTAAGCCACATTGGATGCAACAAATGCAATAGACCAGATTGGAGGAGGTACAGGTGAAATGCTGTTTCACCTGGAAAGACTGTTTAGGCCCTTGGATAGTGAACGGGGAGGAGGTGAAGGTGCAGAGGTTTCATTTTCTGCGGTTACATGGGAAGATGCCATGGGAAAGAGGTGGTGGTGGCCATCAAGACATGGACTAGGGTGTTCCGGATGGAACGGTCTCTACGAAATGTAGACGGGAGAGTGAGGAGAAAATGAGTTTTGTGGTGGCATTCTTGCTGGAGTTGTCTGAAATGGAGAAGGATGATCCTTTGAATGGGAGGCTTGTGGGATGAAAAGTGAGGACTGGCGGACCCGATTACGCTATTGTGAATGATGGGAAGAGGCAAGGGTGGAGGCACGGATGATAGGTTGGATGTGGTTACAGGTCCTGTCAACCACAGTCGGCGGGAAACCACAGTTATGGAAAAAGGAAGCCATATCAGCTGCACTGTCTTGAAAGGTGGCGTCAACTGAACAGATACGACGTAGGAAAAGGAACTGGGAGAATGGGATGGAATCCTTACAGGACATGGGGTATGAAGAGCTGTGGTGAAGGTAGTTGTGGGAGTCAGCAGCTTTGTAATGGGTGGCAGCGGACAGCTTATTCCCTGAAAAGGAGAAGGAGGGGTGAAGGAAATGAAGGGAAGTGTTGGAGATGGACGATGTGATAGTTATAGAGGGGTGGAAATTGGAGGCAAAATTAAAAATTTTTCAAGGTCCAGGTGGGAGCATGAAGTGGCACTGAAACAGTTGCTGATGTACCGAAGAAAGAGTTGTGGGAGGGGGCCAGTGTAGAATTGGAACAAGGATTGTTCCACATACTCCTTAAAAAGGCAGGCATAACTGGGACCCTTGCAGGTCCCCATAGCCACTCCTTTAATTTGTCTCACTCTTTCAAGGCAAAGGAGAAATTGTTCAGTGAGAGAACAAGTCCAGCCAAGCCGAGGAGAGTGGTGGTGGATGGGGATTGTTCAGGCCTCTGGTTGAGGAAGAAGCCGAGAGCTCTCAGACCATCCTGGTGGGGAGTGGAAGTAAAGAGGGATTGGACATCCATGGTGAACAGGAGGCAGTTAGGACCAGGGAACTGGAAATTGTCAATATGGCGGAGGACATCAGGAATTGCAAATGTAGGTGGGCAGGGTCTGGACAAGTGGAGAGAGGATGGAGTCAAGGTGGGAGGAAATGAGATTAGTGGGGCAGGAACAGGCTGATACGACGGACCTACTGGGACAGTTTGGTTTGTGGATTTTGGGAAGGAGGTAGAAGCAGGCTGTCTGGATTTGGGAGACTGTCAGGTTGGAGGTAGTCGGGGGGATGATCTCCGGAATTAATGAGGAAGGTGACAGTCAATGGTTTGATGTTTGGAAGTGTGGTCTTGTATTATGGAGAGCAGTAGATGGCAGCAGTTAGCTATTTCTTTACAACATAGTTCTAACACAAGTATTTCTTTATCTCCGTAGGGACTATAGTATTCATGTAAATGAGATCCACATTGAGACAGCTAAACCGCAATGGCATCAATACTTTCTTTGTGGATTGAAAGGGATTCAGGTAATGTAAAACAATTATTTTTCTATATCAGTCAATGATTCCAATCTGATGAGCAGTGTCCCATCTGTAGTCTCAGGTGCATGAAAACAATCTCATGCCCGTATTTTGAATCAACGCAGGAATGTTTTTTTCTGATGTCTAGGCCAACATTTATCCCCCATTAAAATAGAAAATTTAATCTCCTTCACAATTTTGAAAGAGTTGAAGTTTACAGAGTGAGGACGATGGGAGATTGGTCAGAAAAGTATTAGAATCATCTTGTAAGGAAGTGGCAAAAGGTTTGAAGATTTTAGCAATGATGCAGGCATGGGGTTTAGTGAAAATAATTGGATGTTAATCATTGGTGGGGGTGACAGGCTGAGCAAAAAATAATTTGTGCTTCTATTATGCTCTTCTACTTGCATGCAAATACGATTGAATTTTATCTTTGTCCCTTCCACTGTCTCTAAATTGTCAGACTGCTTGTCCAACATCCAGTGTCAGAGGAACAGAAGTTTCTCATAGTATAGTATTGATAGGACAGAAAATGTTGTCTCCAGTGGCAACACAAACCTCGTTTAGTAGGTAGAAGACAAAGAGTAGCAGCAAAAAAGGAAGAATATAGAGAATAATATTTCCGAGGGTTCTGAGTTAGCACTCCTCTCACTTTGCAGATGGACATAAATACCCTGGACTTTGCATCACAGAAACAATATTGAAATTTATTGAAGGCACCAAATTAGAAGATATAACAAATCATCACGTGCTCTGTGAAAGTCTGTGAGTAGATATAGAAAGGTCAGGAGAATGAGGAGAAAGTGGAAATATAGGGAAAATGTTAAATAATATAAGTAGAAATAGCATGAAGAATACCTTAAGTACTCATGTTTTAAATGGAATAGAGTGGCACACAGGTCGTTAAAGGTGTCAATGTTGAATTTACACACTATCATAATTACGTTGCAGTTGGAATACTACACACAGCATTGGAAATTTTTTAAAACAGGGAAGGTGCAACATGGTATCTTCATAAGATTTTCAAATCAGGTAAATAGTGAGGTTGTTTCTGTTGGCCAGTGCTTAATTCTTTATTATAAAGAATTGTAGAAACAATATTTTGATATTTTGAGAGTGAATGACATAGATGCTTCAAATAGTTATTGAACTGAAAAGTTGGATTGGACTGGATGATTTTTTTGGGGTAAAACATCACCTGAATGGCCAAATGGTCTGTTTCTATTTTCTATGATTCTGTGGAAATATGATTGTTAACACCATTATGCTTTGAGCCACACAATCGTAGAATCATAGAATCCCTACACTGTAAAAGCAGGCCATTTGGCTTATTGAGCCCAGACCAACCCTCTGAAGAGCATCCCACCCAGACCCAAATCCCTATTCTACCCCTGTAACCCAGCATTTCCCGTGGCTAGCCCACCTAACCTACACATCCCTGGAGACTATGGGCAATCCATCTAACCTGCACATTCTTAGACTGTGGGAGGAAATCAGAGCACCTGGACGAAACTCACACACTCACGGGGAGAATTGCAAACTCCACACAGGCAGTCGCCCGAGGGTGAAATCAGCTCGGGTCCCTGGCGCGCTGAGGCAGCAGTGCTAACCACTGAGCCACTATTAATCTTCACTGTATGCTTAAATTCAGTAGTTATTTCCAGAAACTAGTCAATTCAGAGTCCATGACCAAGATATTCATGATTCATGATTTGCCTCATCATGGGGTTTGTTGGAAATATTTTATTTGTTTTAAGACTAAACAAAAACATATTTGTTGTGGAGATGCAGAGATAACTACAATGTGCAGGGAAAAAGAAATCCCAGCAATGAAAAATAAATTTAAAACACATCTGTTGAAACGATTACTTGATGGTTGTCAGTACTGCAGAATTCAGTACTATATATTAAAGACAGTTGAAAATCCCAAGGTTACATTTTCCCAAGTTTATATTAATTATTTAGATAATGTTTTAGGGTACAAAAGTCCTTTTTACAGATTGGTCAAAAGTTTGATTCTCCATTTTACTGAGATTTTGGTCTTGTATTTGTTTTAAACCAGGAAAGGTTTGGAAACGATTTCCTTGAAATGGTTTGTTGAACAAGCAAACAAACAAACAAGGAGAATATAATTGTTCAGAAAGGAAAGCTGACTTATTAGGAATGACATCTCAAAGCAAAGCCGTTGTTTAAGTCTCAAGTGGAGTGAGACCTGGGTTCCAGACAAAGTTTATTTCTTTGCACAGTTCAGCCAATTTGTTTTATAAATCAGTAGATAGTACTGCCAAGTGATACACAGAACTCGTCATTCAATATTGTGATAAATGTATGGCTCTTTAATGCATTTGGTGAAATTTCTATCTACAGGAACTAGATGCGAAGAGGTTCTTAATTAAACCAAAATTTCAAGTATACATATATGTATTTGTGGTCAGCATTAGAAGTGTTAGCCTGGGCATGGGAATGCATTGGAGATATGGAATGGGGAAAGTGGTTGGGATGACATCGGGGATAGATGGAAGAGGGAATGGGGATGGCAATGGAGGAAGGAGTAGTTGAAAGATGTGATAGTATAAGGATGATCTAGAGGCTTGAAAGGAATGGAAAAGTATGGCACGAGAGGGGAAATGGCCTATGGACAAGAGTTTAAAGAAGTACCATGACAATAAGATACTAATTGCAACACAAATGTTTTTCAGATCTCTGCTAATATAAGAATATTTGTAACTATGTGTGAAAATGTACTAAATAACAAAACCTTGTCTTTTAAGTACAGTCAGATTTGTATACAGCACTTTTTTGCATTTTTAGAACAACCTGTGGGTAGTAATATTAGTGTAAAATACATAGAAAATTTAAAAAAGAATCTTTATACTGCAATTAAGTCATTTAATTTGTAATTAAAATTATTTACAAATCTTTTTTACTTAAATAATTAGTATGGTTAAACATAAGTGGTTTAATGTGCAGTACATATCAAATTTGTTAAAATTAATGCAACTAATTTAAGAATTCAGTGAAATTCCAAGGAAAGTTAGATATAACCCACGGTATTTAAATGCCAATTCTTAACAATGATGACTTAACTCTAAAGCATGTTTGTAAGGATAGACAATGAAGTTACATTTTGCGGACAAACTACATAAAGTTCTTTCCGCCCTTTATTCATTTTGGAGATGACTGTTCTAGTACTTGTGGTAAACCCTACCCATGTAGCACAATTGAAAGCATAAGCTAAATGTGGCTGCACACAAGATGTTTTAATCTATCTTGTGAGACAAGCAGGTTGATCAGTTAAGGATATGGAAAAAAGAGTGCTGATAATCAGAATAGGTCCACAGGGTTCATTTACTAGGACAAGTGAAGCTACATAACCTTAAGTCCAGCATCAATTCTGGTCTGTCAGTTCAACGCAAAACAAACATACTCTGATTACCATGGTAGTATTTGTGAAATATATTTGTGAATCACCTTGTGCCACAGACAGTAATGGTGTGTCAAAGGCCCATTAAATGACTCACCCTTGGATCAAATTGGAGTTTAGCAGACAATGGAGAGAGTCTAACGTGACCACAATTCTGTAATAGATTTCCATGGGCATTTTCATAATATGGAAGAAACTATTCAATCCTCTGTAGTCTTTCCAACAGCAGTTTGGAATTAAGTGATTCCATTTGTAATTTTTAAAAAATGTCTTCATTGTACATGGGCAACACATTTCTCTGTCCTGACTATTGATTGAGCTTCACAAGCATTGTGTGGCCGCACCCATTGAGGCCAGTGGTGAATATTCCAATCATTCCTGACTCAAGCTTTGTAAGTGGTGACGAGGGTTTAGAAGGATGTGCACTGAGCTGGACCAGCTATAATCTTGATGTGGCTGGCCAACCAAAGTTCTGATTAGTGAACATCCTTAAGGTATCGATGACGGGCTTCTTCGCGATGGTTGCATTGATAGCATTTGAGGGAAGATAACCAAGCTTATTCTCATTGGATGGGATCATGACTTGAGGCATGAATAAAGTCGCAAATAGTCCGCTCAAGTTTGGAGGTTATCCAGGACCTTACATAGATTGCAATCAGTTGCTTTAGTGGTGGAGAAGTTTGAATGGCACTTTGGAATCATCAATATATGGTCTGAATTTGGTAAGGTCATTGATCAAGTAGTTGGGGTTGGTTGGACCATAGAAATTGCCCTAGTGAGCTTTTTCAGTGATATCTGGTCTCTAAATATGACAGCTATTTTACTTTGCACCAGGTATGATGAGTTCCAGTCGCTGGAGGGTTTTTCCTTGGATCGCTATCGACATTTTTCGGGGTTTCCTTTGTGCAGTAAATGATCTAATGCTGCCTTAAGGTTGAGGTAGTTACTGTCATCTCTATCATTTGAAAACTTAAGTATACAAAACTGCAGATTTGGTTTTAACAATTAGACAGAAGTTTATTACATGTGAAAAGAATAAAAATAAACTAAGCCAAATTAAGGCATCTAAATGTAACACAGTTTGGTAGATTTCAAGATACATGGCAAAACAATGTTCTGTGTATTCTCCAACACTTTACAGTTAATCAAATTCCTAAGAAATTTTCCTTCCCCTATCAGATCTGAGGTTTGACTGAATAGCTTCTTGTCAGTGCAGGTCTCATGAGCTGTGAGGTCTTTTCCCTTTCTCTGTTTTTTAATAATCTGTAGGTTTCGAATCAAACCTTCCTGGTCTGGAAGTTTCACAAACTACAACTCTTACACTATGGTAACCTATTCCCTTGGCAGATGTGTACAATCTCCTTTTCTAGGTGAAACTACACTTGCATTTAACTTCAGTAAGGTCTCCATCGAACTTTATAAAAGCTTTGAACTGAAGATAAAAAAGCCTGCCTATGTTAAATTCTGATACAGCTAATGACTAATGTTTTCTCAATCTGGTTATAACCCCCACAGTACAAACAAACTTCCAGGAGGCCTGCTCCCTGACACATGTTGACCTAAAATCATGGTTCTGGAAAGA